GACAAGGATGGTAGAATTTTTCGTATATGTAGAACAGGTAGGGGACCATTTCTATTACTGCATGTATTTGGTATTAACCTCGCCTGGTTAACTAGTTTACTAGTTACTAGCCGGTCCTAAGCCCGGGTAAAGAGGGAAGGTTGGGCATAGGGCTAGCAACCCTACCCCGTAAAACAAATCTAACCGCTAAAGAAACTTCAAAGCACAAACAAAATATAAAAAATGAAAACAAACTTATTCCCCGCTGGAATCGGAGAGGCGAAATGACGCCAGTTGGTGAAAGCCTTCGGGAAGCCAATTGGCCGATGTGTCTTCTCTCGATGAAAGCGAAAGTAAACGTGGGGACATGGAATGTCCGCACGATGTTTGAACCCAGTAAGGCAGCCCAGATTGCAAGGAGATGAGAAGGTATCACATCGAAGTGCTTGGGATTTGCGAAAGCAGATGGAATGGGAGTGGACTCTCCAAACTGTCAACTGGAGAATCAATAATCTACTCCGGTCACCCAGACGCCAACCACGAGCACACTGAGGGAGTGGCTATCATGATGTCCTCAAGAGCATCGAAGGCTCTCATGCAGTGGGAACCAATCTCCTCCAGGATCATGACAGCAAGATTCAACTCAAAAGGAAGAAAGGTCACAATCATACAATGTTATGCACCTACAAATAATGCAGAGCAAGAGAAAAAGGAGGATTTCTACAGACAACTTCAATCAACACTGGACAAGACGTCAGTTGGCGATATCAAAATTCTGATGGGCGACATGAATGCCAAACTGGGAGGGGACAACACGGGAAGAGAACTAACCATGGGTCGAGAGGCACTAGGTGAAATGAATGAGAATGGAGAATTGTTTGCAGAATTCTGCGCATTCAACGATTTGGTGATTGGAGGCAGTGTGTTCAGGCACAAAGATATCCACAAAGCGACATGGATTTCACCAGATGGACACACTAAAAATCAAATCGACTTTATCTCAATCTCAAGAAAATGGAGACGCAGTCTACTTAACACAAGGTCAAGAAGAGGAGCAGATGTAGGTTCAGACCACTATCTAGTGCAAGGAACCTTCCAAATCAAGTTAAAAGCCTTCAAGGAAGCTGGTGATAGACCTCAACCAAGTACAACACTCGGAAACTGAAGGATGAAACTACAAAGGAGATCTTCAAGGCAGCCATCAAGACAAAATGGGAGACGTGAGCAACATCCCTGAAGAAACCTGTGTGGAAGAACACTGGAAGTCTTTGAAAGCTATGTGGAAAGAAACCTGCACAACAGTATTAGGAAGGAAGAAGAAAGAAGACAAGGAATGGATCTCGACAGATACCTGGAAGCTGATAGAGGAGAGGAGGATGGTGAAGCAGAAGATAAACCAGTGCAAGGATGCTCAACGACAAGATGAACTGAGCACAATGTATAAAACACTGGACAAAGAAGTGAAGAAGAGTGCACGCAAAGACAAAAGACACTTCTACGAAACACTGGCAAGTGAAGCAGAACAGGCTGCAGGTAAGAGAGACCTGACGACATTGTATCAAATAACCAGGTTGCTATCAGGGAAGAGACCAACACAGATGAAACCAATAAAAGATGAAGAAGGAAATTTAATTACAAAAGAAGAGAAACAGAGGAAACGATGGGCCGACCACTTCAAGAAGCTCTTGAATCGACCACCACCTGCACTTCGTCCAGAAATACCACCTGCAGCCGCTGAACTACAAGTGAACATTAATCCCCCAACGAAAATGGAAGTCCTGAACGCCATAAAGCTACTGAAATGCGGGAAAGCAGCAGGACCAGATGGAATACCGCCAGAAGCACTGAAAACAGATGCAGAGACAACAGCGGACATGCTCACACCACTATTGCAGAAGGTGTGGAAGGAAGAGAAGGTACCTGACGATTGGAAGAAGGGTTACCTTGTCAAACTGCCGAAGAAGGGAGACCTCAGTGCTTGCAAGAACTGGCGCGGAATCACTCTCCTGTCCACCCCAAGTAAAATATTAAGCCGCATCATCCTGGAGAGGCTAAGGGATGCACTGGATTCAAAACTACGACCGGAACAGGCAGGCTTCAGGAAGTACAAATCATGTGCAGACCAAATTGCAACGCTTCGTATCATCATAGAACAGAGCATAGAATGGCAATCACCTCTCCACCTCAACTTCATCGACTTTGAGAAGGCCTTTGACAGCGTCGACCGAGAAGTAATTTGGAAACTGCTTCAATACTACGGAGTACCGCAAACCTTTATCCGCCTCATTCAACAACTATATGAAGATGCACATGCCAAGTAATCCACAATGGGAAGCTCAGTGATGCCTTTGAAGTGAAGACAGGAGTGAAACAAGGTTGCCTACTATCCCCCATGATATTCCTGATTGTGGTGGACTGGATCATGCAGCAAACAGTAGGCAGCGAGAAGAGGGGGATACACTGGACGACGGAAAAGAACCTAGAAGACTTGGATTTCGCCGATGACTTATGCCTAATGTCACATAAACTTGAAGATCTGCAGGCAAAAACTAACAAGTTGATAGAAGAGGCAGCGAAGACGGGACTTCAGGTGAATATAGAGAAGACAGAAGTGATGAAGATACCGCACCACCACCATCAACAACAACAACAACAAACTCCAATCACTGTCAACGGGAGAAACTTAAAGGAAGTAACCTCCTTCACTTATCTAGGAAGCACTGTTTCAACTACAGGCGGGACGGACGAGGACGTCAAAGTCAGAATCGGAAAAGCAAGACAGGCATTCATTAGCCTGAAACCAGTGTGGAGATCTTCTGCACTCAGCATGCGGAACAAGATACGGATTTTCAACACCAACGTCAAGTCAGTGCTCTTGTATGGCTCAGAGACTTGGCGCGTCACGAAAGGTATTTCCAATAAACTACAGACATTCATCAACAACTGCTTACGCTCGCTGCTGAAGATCAGATGGCCAGAAAAAATAAGCAACAAGGAACTCTGGGAACGAACCAACCAAGAACCTATCACGCAACAAATATGCAGGAAGAAGTGGAGATGGATTGGCCATGCACTGAGAAGGCCGACGGAGGACATCACGCGTCAGGCCCTCGAGTGGAATCCCCATGGGAAGCGACGAGTTGGACGTCCAAGGGTGACATGGAGGAGGTCGTGCGAGAGGAAATGAGAGGTTGTGGGCTGTCGTGGGACCAGGTTCAAAAGATCTCAGAGAACAGAGGTCACTGGAGGCGTGCTACTGAAGCCCTATGTTCCACTAGGAACCCAAGGGACTAATAATAATAATAATGTATTTGGTATTGATTTGATGAGCGGAGATTCTGTTGTCAATCCCTTTTTCCACAAAATCCCTTGCAATGATTGTGATGGGTCAAATACAGAGGCTTAACTAAGCTATCTGAGCACGAAACTTGGCTAAATTAAGATTAGTAGTAGACTGTAGTAAGATAAGGAATTGAGAAAGAAGTTTGGCTGTTGCTATGCACGCGATTCCACACGATTACACGATAGTGTGAGATAGACCAACAGTTTTAAAGAACTTAGTTCAGTGAAGGAATAGATTGACAACCGGATCTTTTTTATCGAATCAACACCAAATACATGCAGTAATAGAAATGGTCCCCTACCTGTTCTACATATACGAAAAATTCTACCATCCTTGTCATCACAAAGGAGAGAAAATCAGGATAACATAAATTCTGTTTCAAAGTCGTGGGGTTAGTTACCTGATATGAATATGGAAAGTAAGTTATGTAGAAGTAGTATTCATCATAGACTGACATCAGTTGGGGAACCATTGAAAATCTGCGAGCACTGGACAGCTATTTCATCCTAGGACTCCTCAGCAGTACTCACCCACTACCCAGTTAGGGGTCGAACTAAGGACGTTCAGGTTTCATGTTAACCATTCAGCCACTGCTGAGGAGTCCATACTAGGATGAAACAGCTGTCAAGTGTTCCCAGATTTTCAATGGTTCCCCAACTGATATCAGTCCATGATGAATACTACTTCTAAATTAAAAAACCCCCTTCATCTCAAAAATACAGTAAGTTATGTATCCGAAACTACTAGTTGAAACAGGTTTTTACCGATTTTGTATTGCAGATGTTTCGTCCCAGTATGGGATTTCTCAGAAGCGTGCACGCAAGATACCATCGGAATCGAACATACTAGATTGGATTACGATGGTCCATATTTTCCTACTTCTATCAATTCACGATGTAGCACGACTATCACTCGTGGTCATTGTTGAGTATTTTTCCTTATAGTCACCAATTTGAAGAAACAAATCACTAAATCCTCACAGATCTCTAAATCAATACTTTTTGTTTTATTTACCTGTAAAATAAATTTGTTTTAATGGTTTTTATTGAACACTGAATGAATTATACAGTTTATCCTGATGTCTATTCAAATATTTCAAGATAATTTCAATTAAATAGTAGTCAGTTGTTTCTGTCAATCTTTTTATAGTTAAATTGTGGTCATATTTCATCATGACTGAATGACATTTTCAATAATCAACTGATTGGATCTTTCGAATTTTAGTTTCATGGTTAAATTACATAATTACTCATAAGCTTTTATAATTTATGGCCAATGCCTTAACAAAAATCTGTCATTTTGTACTTTCTGTTGTCAATGAGAAGAAATGAACTACATTGTCTTTTGTAAAACAAGTTTTAGCAAAGTAAAAGTTGATCTTTCACTTCAATAGGTATAAATAACTTGAAACTATTGAACTGTGAATTTGTTGTCAAGTGGCAACTTACTAAAATACACCTAAACACAGTTACCATTCATGATGTGAATAAATCATCGGTAAAAGTTTAGATTGCAGCATTGAATGATACAACTGTACCTCGTTAAAAGAGTTAAAGCTTCCTCGTAGTTACAGAAATATCTTACAGTTGAAATTCATTTACTCCCATAGACAGAGATTGAGAAGTGCCACCGTGATAACATCACCAAAAATAAAATACACAAATCAGCATCAGCTTACCTTATTGGACAGTGGATGGTTTTCAGTACATAGTGGTCCAGTTGAAGCCACCTCACTTGAATCATTCATCTGGCGTTGAGGATACTGCTGTTGTTGGTTCTGTGACAAGATACTAGCTATTTGAAGATCAGTTTGTGAATTTTTTAGATTTGTCCTTACTACATGCTTATTCATTGCCTGATGTAATGAAGTCGACTGTGGAACGGAAAATTTCGCCGTAGCACCAATACTATTACTATTATCATCATTCATTGATGGACACAGCGTTGAGGTTGATTGACACAACAAATTTGGTGATGTAAAGTAACTGGATAACTTTGCTGATGTAAAGTCAGTGGAAGAACAAGAGTGCAACGGTGCTGTTGACAGTCGGACTGATACCGCTGAAGGAAGATGTTGCTGATGCTGGTGATGACAATAGTTGGGAGAGGACGGAGACGTTGTTTGACTCAACTTGAGAATATTTGTTGGTTGTGTTAACTTTGTCGATTCACTAGACGACTTTTTCAGTGCAGAGAAACAACTTTTATTGATTAGACTTCCAAGGGATTTACCACTAGTTGACGGTGCAATATTTAACGCAGACGTATTGGATTTCATTAGAATAGGACGTGAAATAGTAATGTGGACAGGATGTTGTGACATTCTACACTCACAGGTACAAAAAAGCGAGAAGAATAGAAATAATGATGATTTGAGAAAAATAGTTTTAAATAGTACTAACTCACGTCAAAAATCTGGGAGCCTGAGCAGTTGTTGCATCCTGCCTTAAAGCCTTTCAGAAACCGTATACTCATGGCCATGGGAGCATAGAATTATTAAACCAATTTTTAAATGTACATGCCAAGAAACCTGACGTTCTTCGGCTCAGTCCCTCGCATGATCATGTACGTGCATTCCTGAGGAGTTACACACTAGGACGAAACAAATGTTCATTGCTCCCAGGTTTTCATTATCAGTCCGTGATGAAAACCGCCTTTAAAATGCACTACTGTTGAATGTTTGTACAAAAAAGAGTTTAACCTGATATCTTCACTACACCGATACGGTTGTGAGGTTTCCTCCCTTCACAGTGAACATGTCCTGAAGAGAGTGTATTCCTGGACTGAAATTTATTGAAAGTAGACATTCTAATAAGGAAACAGGAAGTATTTTCAATTCAGCTCCACAAAAGTGTATAGTAGTACTGGTTGTCTTCATTGGAATAGAGGCGGAATTTTTAAAGCTCATCGAATGTCTGAAATCCAGCACTCTGATTAATTACACATTTGTGTTACTACCATTCAGATTTTCAATGACGGAGAAGCAAACGCCTTTGAATAATTAATACAGTAACTTTAAGTGTGGCTGTGTATGACTATTGATCACTTTGAACGATATCGATACGTCGAATTTATGTCTAAGTATCAAGTAAATGTCAAGCGATTGTGTTATTTAAATCCTGTGGACCTATGAGACTCAAGTTCTTCCGGATATATTCAAAAATGTGGACACGAACTGTTCTCTCTGCTATTACAGTGTATGTGCTCTTGAACATACCTTCAACTGGATCAACCAACTCATATGACTAGTGATGTTCAGTTTCTACCAAGTGTCTGACCAGTGCATATATAAGAACTTGCCTCCCTTTTAAGCACAAACTTCTGAGGGTATGGTAATAAAATTAAGAGAATACTTTTCCTTCATTACTTTGTATGCATTTGCTGCTAAAAATACAGGCGAATCGGTTGGTACAGTTGAAGGTGATGTGAGAGGGGTTGGCATGAGCGCCACCATGACCTAGGTTTCCATCTCGTCGTCAAACATCAATGTATAAATGACCTAGATTTTGAAAGTGCAAAAGTAGGAGGCTGTTTGTCTCGGTTTTTCACGGTACATTAAAAAGTGAAGAACTTCACGTTTAAAAAATTACAAACAACTATTCTTGCTTTTATTCTAGAGGGTGACTCATAGATGGGGATAAAGCCTCGACAACTGCAGTGATATTCAGACATTAGAGGATGTATAATGTCGAAAACACTGCAGATTGTCCAAAAGAATGACTTTAAAGATAACCCTACCAACAGCTGAAGCATTCAGTTTCCCTTCTTACTTTAGTGGAGAACAACTTTTCCAGACCGAGCTAACGAAATTTAATTACTTATTTTACTTGTTGCTATTGTATCTTTTAAGGATACTTCAGATACTTAAATCTTGGAGGCTTGCAGGGATTTATTGATTTCAGGTTGAAATTCATCATGGGCCATTAAAATGAGGGAGCACTGAACCACTGTTTAGTTCCACCATGGGACCTTCCATCACCCTGCTTTCATGGGATCAAACTCATGACCTTCTAGTTCCACATCAAACACATCACCATTGAGTCACTAGGTTGGCATGCTATGGATTCTGTCTGTTAACTCACGATATAGCGCGACCTTCATTCAATAATGCCACTGAGTACCTGTCCTCACATCTTATCATGACTTCTCATTACAAATTTGGGAAATCTCATCTCGAAACAAATCACTAATGACCACCAGACAGTAATTCAATTTGGAGGTTTTTGGCTACTAATCTATCGATTTCATCATTGAAGTGAATGGAGGTTCGCGTTATCGTGAACTGATAGAAGTAGGAAAATATGGACCATCGCACTCCAATCCAGTATGTTCGATTCCGATGGTATCTTGCGTGCACGCTTCCGAGAAATCCCATACTGGGACGAAACATCTGCAATGCAGAATCAGTACAAACCTGTTTAAAACCGTAGTTGGCTTCATGAATAATTTAATATAGGTAATATTCAAATAGTTGCGAATGCAGTCACTGATCTGAAGAAAATAATAAGATTTAGTCCTGTTCATAAATGTAGCCTTCTTCCGCTGTTCCCAGATATATTCCCAAGGTGGAAACCATCACATCCCAATATTTTTCAAGTCTGATCAGACCCAGAAACAACTGACCTCATACCATGCATCTGCTTGTACCGAATCACTATCAGCAATGGGCACAGTGTGATTAAAATCTGATTATTCAATTACATGGCGTAACTGAAACTCTCATAAGGTTGCCAACTGCCCCACCATGATCATGTATCAGGAAAAGCACATGAAAAAGCTCTACACGGGGCCGATAAATGGTGTTTATGTTTGTGCTGCTAGCGGCTGATTATTGGTAGAGCCTAGTTAGGCAACGGCGATGTGTCTCCTCGGATATCAATCAATTCACTGTCAAAGTTAACATATCGGTAAAAGTAGTTGACGAGATTCGTATGTACAAATTAGTGGCGTGAATCTCCAAAACAGGGATGGGCCAGTTAATCTTCAGGATTTCGTCCAGTGCGCTAAGAGCAGTGCTATCCAAAGGCAAGGGAATCCAGCTTCTTAGTCCTGTTGGTCACTACTGTTATCCTTGCTAAGGAGTGCGTTGTTCTTTTCGAATACCGTATGTCGTTTGCCGTAACCCTGACATTTTGTAGGTAGACTATGAAGTGCCACCGTTTATGAAATTTAGGCGAGAGAGAGACTATCTTCTACGAAGGTTTGCTGTGGAAACATCAGTGAGGCACGTCGCATGCATATCTACCCTCAAGGAGATAAGTACGATCACCGAACCGTAATTCCCGGCGAATGTTAATGTCTCGAGGCCTGGCAGTCAAGAAAGTTCCAAAATAACACTGATCAGTTTGAGGGAGGTGTTAACAGAATACTCCAGCAGGAGTGTTCGTTTTCAAATGAATTCGCCGACTTCATGGTTTCTGTTTGATGAGCGAAATGATGCACCAGGTTTGTGCAGCAACGTGGATAGGTCTGAAAACTGGCCTGGAATTCGGAGTGAAACCTTACACAGTTACATAGATCACTAGTGTACTGTTGGCCATTAATAAACAATAGTTCAAGTTAAGATACATAGTTCAGGTTATTGTTCCAACTATACATGTAATCGCTGCCAAAATGTTGTTTAAATACATAACTCACCTGAACATGCGAACAACACTATCACTCGTTGATCTGGACACATTCAGATTGTCAACAGCAACTATAAAATCACCAGCTTGTATTCCACATTGCATTGCTGGGGAACCTGGTTCAACATGACTCACGTAAACAGGACAGTTACCGCACAAAGTGAATCCAAACCCTTTGGAGCCTTTTTGAATAAGAAACTGAAATAAAAACACCAATGGAAAGGAGTAAAATGACTTCAGTTGTTGTTTCAGTGTATTCTTAGAATCAATCAAAACTATTCATGTTTTCGATGGTGATTACGCAAGCTATAGAAATATCAATTCTTAGTGTGTAAAATATTCGACTCAAACGAAGGTTCTACAACTGAACATAGTAAGTAAAAGCGAAAATAACTTGGTCTTCATTACCAAACAAGTTGATTTTGGGGTGGTCGAAAGTTCTTGACGTCCGTTTCATGAATATTGATACTCATCAATGAAATGTATCTGTAACCTTGAGAGAACTGATCCCGACCATGAAGTTTAGACCTACGTCACACGGTGTTGTAGTTAGGGACGTTCACACTAAGGTATTTGGGTCCTGATTCGTTTCTTGTACAACTGGATTAGGTACACTGATGAGCCACTGGAGAGTAACCAGTTTCGTGTTGTCTAATCACAAGAGTGCTAATCGAATTCTATCGGTCATTTTGAAATGTGGTCGTCGTGGTTGGTGACTCGACATCGTGACACTTTTCAAAATATGTTACCTGGATGAAGGCAGTCGTCAGGATGCCCTACTCAACTTAGTTTTTATGTTCGTTAGCAGTAGCTAGGGTTTATTAAACTTTACTTATCTAAGTCCACAGGAGGTCGGTTGCAACCCAAGTAGGTTAGTGATAATGTCATTGATAGAAGCACCGAGTGATGTGGGTTTGACTTTCATCACCTCGGCGTTGTAGACACGCTTTGCTGATGAGTGTCGACAAAAATGAAACAGGGGCGGATCGGAGTTTTCTACCGATCACCTCTGTACAACTAACCTAGAACATAAGAAGCTCAATTAAGAGTTCATGTTGCCAATTATTTCAACTCTTTTATTCAAAATAATTCTGTGTTAAAATTGCTGACAATAAAAGGTTTGATTCATTCACAATAGTCTGGAGGAAAAGTGTCAGTCACAACCGGTAGAAGTCAGTGGTGGTATTCCTGGCTGTAGAAGTCGATGACAAGAGAATATGAATCTTCAGATGAGCATCACTTTCCTTTGCATATAAGTCCAAATAATGATTACACCCTTTATCGAGAAAGATTTTCCTCTAAAAATCATAAGCTTCACTTCATCTTTATGTACAAAAATAGTATGCAATTAATTATCTTCAAAGTATAATGTGGGTTTTTAAACATCCTACTAGTTGGTTTGAAGTCAAAGGTACTGGGTTTGAGCCTCTCAAGTGGGAACAACACTCCTCACTGGGGTGTGAGTATATCCGGTTGATGAGTCCCAACTAGGACAAAGGCGCATTCTGAATTCCTATGTTAGTCACCAAGACCAATATAGTATCATGAGTATCCAGCAGTATCGAAGTATCCTCCTAGGAGCCAATCTGTCAACTGAGGTGGAGCACTTCGAACCTGTATAGCAACGGGAACCTACAATTATCATCACAACAACTAATGTCCGTTGACAAAGAGGTGGCTATCGTGCTGTAGTAGCTAAGTGGATGGTGCTTTAATCGATGGGTGGTGGTTTGGAGTCCTAGTAGAAAAAACATCACTCACTGGGGTGTAGATACGTCCAGCCGACAAGTCGATCCTAAGTACGCTGAAACGGGAGTGCTGGATTCCAAGATGAATATAGTGTCTGGTGTCGTTTCCCCGGATCCTTTTTATGATTTCCAAGACCCTAGTTAGCAAAGTTATCACTGTTTATTCAATAAAACATATCTTTGCCACTATGTAAATTAGTGAAATAATCACTTAGTGAAAGAATCCTCTCTCCTCAAAGTATAAAAATCGTCTCGACAAATTTTGTGATGAAAACTCGATGAACACTCTTCAGTTGTTGATCAGAGTAGCCTAGCAAAAACATTTAAGAGTTCTTTCCAAAAAAAGCTGCACCATGGTTTTATCAGCTGGTTTTGTCAACTTAAAGAAATCACCATCCATGGAATGAGTTGGCTTGACTCTGCGCCATATTCACTGCAGCGTATATTCTAAGGAAGATGAATGAAGCTTAGATAAGTAAAAACTCATCTAAACGAGAGTTTTATTCTCATTACATGGAACGTCTACAACTATCTAATCCGTCTGTAGAGACAAATGTCTCCTAGTGGAAGCACGCGGGCGACTGATACTTCCCGGTAGCCTTCACCTTGGTGAAATCATCGTGTGAGCAATTTTAAGGTGGGGTGAGGGACACTAGGCAAGATAGACAAGCCTATCGCTAGGGTGGTGGACCTTATTCAATTCAGGTGGCTTCGACATGTGCTGTGCATGCCCAGCCACCACCTACCTCAAAGTGCCATGCTAAGGAATGTTGGATTAGATTGGAAGACCAAGACGTGGTACCAATTCATGAAGTCCCTGACTGTCGGTCAGAGCCGAGTGGGGAGAGGTAGACTGCCTGGCCGGGGTCCCGAGACGACAGGAACCGGAGGTTGAAGACTCTTGGTGACATGGTTGAAAATCGGTCAAATTGGTGCAGAAGTATTCACTCTTTGATCTCTTTTAAAGCTGGAATATTTGTTTATTTTCTAACACAACTTTGTCTACTTTGATATCAACCTTTTATTGCCAACTTGTTCTTTGTTTACTGTTTTGAAGTGTGGCAACTTGCAAATTTATAGGCACAACTTTCATAATTAACACATCTAACAAGGCTAATCATGATGGGTTTAAGGTAAAACTAATTGGTGTATCACATCCATTTCCTAACTCTGTAATATATCAGAAATATGGTTTAACCAAAGAACATTTTTATTTCTCTGGAAACAACAGAAAAAGAATAATCACTTCTGTTGTCTCACAACTTGAAAATGGAGATGTTGTTATTACGAATAAATTGATTTATCAAGAGCTTATGGATTACCCGAACTGTACAGAAACTGTAGATAAACTACTCAAACCAACTGGGATATGCACATGAAACGTATACGGTCAGCGGAAAATCCACAAGTCTGGAAACCCTCTGAAGATACATCGTAGACATATCGAACTCACCATATCATAAACTTGTTAAGTGGATTACAAGAAATCTCAGTTTGTTAGGAGACTCTCTGAAAGTTTACTTCATTGAAATTTCACTTGATTTTTGGCTACTTTAGACAATATGGACATTAAAAATAAGATTTTTTACTCCGTTGATGTAGAATTGTTATTTACTGATGTACCACCGCACTGCTCAGAAGTCTCATGTTAGGGTGGAACAGCTACCGTCCAATGCTTCAAGGTTTCCAATATTTCCCCAACTGGTGTCAGTCACTGCATGATGAATGTCACTTTGAAATCAATAAATCCCTATAGGACTTGATTTTCCATTGGTTATTCAGTACAATTTCTGAAAGATCCACCTTAATACAAGTGTTAGTTAAGTCAGCATCATGTAAAAGCTCATAGTTTCTTTCTTTGAAGGCAATTTCTGTCGCTTGTGTATCTTATGGGTAGGTAGGTAGGTAGGTAGGTAGGTAGGTAGGTAGGTAGGTAGGTAGGTAGGTAGGTAGGTAGGTAGGTAGGTAGGTAGGTAGGTAGGTAGGTAGGTAGGTAGGTAGGTAGGTAGGTAGGTAGGTAGGTAGGTAGGTAGGTAGGTAGGTAGGTAGGTAGGTAGGTAGGTAGGTAGGTAGGTAGGTAGGTAGGTAGGTAGGTAGGTAGGTAGGTAGGTAGGTAGGTAGGTAGGTAGGTAGGTAGGTAGGTAGGTAGGTAGGTAGGTAGGTAGGTAGGTAGGTAGGTAGGTAGGTAGGTAGGTAGGTAGGTAGGTAGGTAGGTAGGTAGGTAGGTAGGTAGGTAGGTAGGTAGGTAGGTAGGTAGGTAGGTAGGTAGGTAGGTAGGTAGGTAGGTAGGTAGGTAGGTAGGTAGGTAGGTAGGTAGGTAGGTAGGTAGGTAGGTAGGTAGGTAGGTAGGTAGGTAGGTAAAATCATTGTGGTCATATTTTCTCTTTCTAGCATTATCATAAATTGGATAAGAACGCTGATAATTCTAGTTGAAGAATAAACTATGTTGTCAGTTATTTACGGAGTAGGGATGAGGAAGGGTGTAAGTTAATTTTCTATTAGTGGATGACTATCTTCTTGCCAAATCTACACAAATCTACATAACCTTTATGGGTGATCGAGGGCGCAACATTTTGCGCGAAATATGTCTCTAACAAGGATAATGTGCACTTATTTGCTCTATTGTTTTGAGATGCATAGAGGTTGGAAAGAACATATTACCCAGTGGTTATCAAATTAAATGAATAAACCATGGTATCATCTGTTGTCATGCAGTTATTCATTAATGGTTACAAAATCAACACCAATATCTGTTATTCAATTGTTTCTTACTACTCAAACTCGCCTACTCACTTAGTCAAGGAAATAACAGATGTAACCTCTTGTCTAACCTGGACTACTTGACCTTGACTGATTGGCCATTTATACGTCTTTCTACGTCTAACCTCCAAAATTTGACGAACAGTGTATCACATAAATTCTGCCTCTTATTTTTGTCAATTCCCGTTTTAAGTGAATAATTTGTCATTTAAACCATTTTAGATGTTAGGCCACTGTCAGGAAACTGTGACGCTACATCATCTTGCAAAAAATGTTTTCTTGATGACCAATTTAAATTTACCAAAGAATCAAAAACAACTTTGGGGCAGTATTCATCGAGGACTGATATCAGTGAAGGAGCAGTTAAAAACTGGGAGCACTGAACAATTGTTTTATTCTAGCACACACCCATGACCTCATTAGGGATGAAACTCAGGACTGCCATGTCTCACAAAGAATGAGTTTGCCGTTCGAACATTGATTCATAGTTAAATGGTCCAGGTTTTGATAATTCTTTCCGTTCACGCTAGCCTTATTTTCACCATGATTTTCACGCTGGCATCTGCCTCACTTACGACTGGCTGACGCCATAGGAGTCTCATTAGAACTTCGAGACATCCGTCTCGAAGTAGGTCACCGTCAAGCACTTTATTTTCTCTATTTTGCCCATTAACAGAAGTAAGAAACCAA